ACCCTAAAAGGAGTGGGTGGGTGGCAAACCCTGTTCCCTAAAAGGAGTGGGCGCCTGCCAGACCCTAAAGCCTAAAAGGAGTGGGCGGGTGCGGTCTGTCCGTCAAGGCAGTACAGGTGACGTAAAAAAACAGGAGTGACCTGAAGAACTGCAGTGATCCGGGCGCACCGACCACTGTGGGCGTACTACTACTCCTACTACTACTACTACTACTACTACTACTACTGCTACTACTACTACTACTACTACTACTACTACTACTGTTTTACTTCCTACAATTACTACTACTATATACCAGTATGAATTAACTCACATGTGCCGTAGGATTCTCCACTCATGCCGCCGGGATCGTCTCAGACAAGCCTCACAAGGTTGTCGACTGTAGGCGAAACCAAAGACAGATGCCCACCACCGAGGTCGTTGCCCCAGGCCCAACCCCTAAACCTCCTAGACCCAAGTACACCTTAAGCCGCAACCCTGCCCAAACCCCAAGCCCTAACTAACCGCTAAGCCGTTACCCTAAGGGCGGTGGTGCCTTGATCATCTGCTAGCCTTGACTTGGATGCAGCGGATGAGCTTGGCATTTGCTGCCAGTTCCATGATTCGCCTCGGCACTCGCGCTGTGACCGGTGCGCTGGAGGACAGATCTCAGGTCTCTACCGGGTAATCCTCACATCTGATTTCGTGTTGTCGGCGTTGTCGGTGTCTAACGGGCATCTGGCCCAAGGTTCGTTTGTCTGTGGCAGGGTTCAGAGTTTTAGGGCTAATATAGGGGCCTAAATTGCCATTACTATTCTGGGGGTTCCTTATTGAAATTCTATTATAATATAATATACCCCCCAAACCCTATTCTAATTATTAAGGCCCCTATATTTGGGTTTGGGAGTTGAGGGGTTGGGGTTCAGACTCCTCAGCTGCAGGGTTGTCTAGACCGGGCTTCGAGCTCAGCTTCGGATTGGCATCGCACCGGATGCCAGAAACAGTTCATCGGCGGCTAGAGCCTTGAGTGGCTTTCATGCGGATTTTTGTTCAATCTAGGAGTTGGTATTGTTTGGAGGCTTAGCGCGGTAAGCGCAAGCATATCTATACGGTTTTTGCAATCTGGGATCTCTTATTGTTTTGAGGCTTGGGGCGTTAAGTGTTTATTACCCAAGCCCTAAACCCTAAACTACGGTTGATGATCTACATCCTGCATTACCCGTAATAAGGAATATACCATGATTTCCATAGTTTAGGGTCCTTAAGGCCTTCAGGTAGTGCAGGGTTTATACCATCAACAGTGGTGAAGGTTCGGAGCCGTAGACTTAGACACTTGGGGCTGAGGGGTTTTGCAGCAGCTAGGCTTGAAAGTCTTGGCTCTTGTCATGCACCGGGTGCTCCAGATATCCCCATTCTAATTATTAAGGCCCCTCTCTTACACCCTTACAGAAACCCTTATAGGAGCGCTTTTAAAGGACCCCCTTTAGAGGAACCCTATTCTAATCATTAAGGCCCCTAGATTGGCATGAGCGAGCCGACTTGGGGCATTGCGCAAGAAGCTGCAGACAGAGAAGCCGCCCCAACTGGGAGAGGAGATGTCTCCCAGGTTCTGCCTTTGAACTCTGCACTGGCGCCTAAACCCAAAGCCCTAAACCCCAAAAACCCTCGAACTTAAACCCTAAGCCCTAAACCCAAATACCCTCGAACTTGAACCCTAAGCCCTTAAACCCCAAAACCCTAAACCATTAAACCTTTAAGCTTCTCAACCCAAGAGGGCAGCAACGTTTCAGAGCTTGCTTGTCTCTGCCAGAGGACGATGTCGCAGGGGCACCCTGGTAGCATTGGGAGCACAAGAGCAGGATTATGGTTTCTCTGGGTTTAGGGATCAGGATTTAGGGTTTAGGGTTCAGGATTTGGGGTTTAGGGTTCAGGGTTTAGCGTTTAGGGTTCAGGATTTAGGGTTTAGGGTTTAGGGTACTACAAGATCGGAGTATCTCATATCTGTGTTGGGTTGTGCAATTGGTCACAAATGGATTGTGACTAATGGAGGCTCCTGCCCTTATCGTCCGACATGCAGGGTGCTTCAGAATCTCGAGCCCTCGGCCCTGAACTTTAAGCCCCCGATATCGGCCGAGAGGTTCTGACCGCAGATGGAAGTTATGGGAAGCTGTGCTCATGTGCAGTATCATTGCATACATAGTTCTTGTACTTAGCAACAACGACTCATAGCAAGCTATAGCAACCTGAAGAACGAACGGACAAGACTGCTGTGACTGCTGTGTGTTCACAGTGCTCTTAAGCGAGGAAGAGAACATGTGTTCACGACTGCCATGGCCAAAATGTTCTTCAGCCGTACTCGCAAGCATACCGGGACATGGCTCAGGCGAATCTCTTCCCTGCAGCTCTCGCGTCATAACCGGGCTATTGATGAGATGCTGGGGTTTCTGCTGCATCGAATTACTGCGATGGTTTCATCCCAAGAAGCCCTCCATATATACATGCATCCGTACATACATAGGTGCACGCACATTCACACATTCGCACCTACATTCATGCATGCTCGCAACATACAAGCATTGTTACTATAGTTGTTCTGAAACGAAGGTTCGGTTTGTGTCTTTTTTCGCGACTTTTACGCACTTGAAATACAGTGAGTAAGTAAAATTGTGACCCTGTAGAATGCTACACGTGAGGTCGTGTGCGTCATTGCGAATTCATCGCGCAGGGTTTGAGGAGGAGGACGCGGCAGATTGCACACAAAATTTGCAGAGCACAGCTGTTTGCTGAAAAACATGTGCCCAGAGGCCCAGAGGATAGGGGCAATCTAGGAGCCTAAATAATTGCCAATTTTATATTTATAGTAGATTCTACCCCAAAACCCATTTCTAATTATTAAGGCGCCCTGCATTAATCTACTGAAAAGAGGAACTTCAGCACAGCAGGTCGAAGTACCGTGGGCTTGCATTCATCAGCCGCCCGTAGCTCCAAATATAGGGTTACAAAGCGTGTGAAGACAGCTGAACGTCGAATGACTCGAGTGTTTGTGCATCCCAAGACTTTCGTCTACCAGGATCACCACAAGTAGGCTGCTCCCGCTCCTACCCCTACTGCTACCTACTACTACCTACTACTACCTACTACTACTACTACTACTACTACTACTTCTACTACTACTACTACTACTACTACTACTGCTACTACTACTACTACTACTACTACCATCACCACCAGGAGCACCACAGGAAGGTGGAGCTGGACGAGAAGCTGCAGAGACACCTTCAGCGGACGGAGCCCTCAGGCGAAAGCGAGAAAGCCAGCATCGAGGCAGCCACAGATGCAGCAGAAAGAACCCTCAATATTAGAGTATAATATTAAAACAGGACGGTATGATACATTATAGTACTTTTGTAGTACATTACAGTATATTGGTATATCTGTTTAAATTAAAATTATAACGTCTTATTGTATGGTCTTTTATGTCATACTATTTTATGCCTTATGCTATCCTAGGAGTCGGTGCAGTTTGAGCCATCTTTCTACAGTATTCCTGGAGGAAAAATAGAAGCCGAAATAGTTACCTATATTAACTCAGGATTCCTTATGATAATTACAGTATAATGGGCCCCAAAGACCCTATTGAAATTTTTAAGACCCCTTACAGTAGGAAGCATGCAATGACTGCAAACCGAAAGGTGGAACCCTGGAACGATTTGGACGATCTTCTATTCAGAGCGGCTCGGCAAAGGCTCAAGCGGTTGATGCAGTTCTTGCAAATGTTTCGTTTGAGTTCTGTAGTCAATCTTAAAACAAAAGACCTAAAGCTAGGAAACCCCTGTGGCCCGCCTGTATGCCTAAATTCCTACGCGCCTCAATCCACAACCCCGTGCTAAAGAACTCCCATCAAAACCTGTAAACACCCTATGACTCATAGCCTATGAGGACTCCACAAAACTAAACCCTAAACCCTATCAGCACCAGCTTTTGCAAGCCCTAGACGAACCTAAATTATAAAAGCGCGAGGCAGCGGCCCCCAAAGCCCTCCACTCCGAAGACTATAACTACAGTAGTCTGGTATAATTAGAATAGAAGTATAGCCTTCGGAGTGGAGGGCTTTGGGGCCGCTCCCTCGCGCGTTTATAATTACAGTAGTCTAGTATAATTAAAGTAGAAGTATAGTGTAATTCTGGTATAATTCTAGTATAGGTATACTGTAATTGTAGTATAACCGTAGTATAATCATAGTATCCAAGTCCTAGTTCATGTATAGTAAAGGTATAGTATACTCAGAGCATAAGTAGAGTATAAATGAAATATACTTATAAGGCCATCGAAGAGCGGGACGCCGCTTCGGTGCAGCTGCTGGTGGAGTGTCGAGTGCGACTCGGCGTTGGTTCTCTGATCGTATTTTGCTTCCTTTGGGCTTTAGGGTCTTGGGGTAGAGAAACCCTAAACTTAGGGTGTAGGGTAGGGTTGAGCGTTTGAGGTTTGAGGGTTCTTGCGGCAGGGCTTTGGGAAGGCCGTCTGGGGGTTTATTTGGGGTTTAGAGTTTAGCGATGGGGCTTGCTCAGGGAGTTTAAGCGTGTGCGAAGGAGCTTATACAGATTCACAGTGTGAGTGTTCAGGAGTTGGTAGGGTTTGGGGTGTTCCAGGATTTGGAGTTTGGGGCTAAGGGCTTAAGAATTTTCCTTGCCTAAACCATCACCCAATAATGTGCTTTCAGAGTTCCTATATAGATATGTCAGAGAACTACCCCACCACCCTGTTCTAATCATATAGCCCCTCTTCTACACTCTACAATCACTAAGGCCCCCATATTGGACCCTACGGCACCCCCTGCACTAGAACAGCGTATAGTTCTCCCTTTGTGTCTTCCTGGGGCTCTTGACGACTGGGGAAAGGCCGTATAGGTTTTATACTTGGGTCAGGAACTTCAACATAACTTTTGAAGTTGCCAAAGTCTTTACTAGAGACCCCTATCATGTCAACTGCTTAGCCTAAATACCGAAGAGTCGCATAGCCCCTGGAGCAATTGAATATGGGACCCTTGCGTAACCTTTGCCACAAACGGAAGGACAAGAAATGGGTCCAGATTAGATCCTCAGGCTCCCCTACTTATATGAGGAAACCCCCACGGCAATATCTAACCTACTCTAACCTAAAAAAACTCCAAAAACCCCGGACTTGACCAACACCATACTAGTTAGAGCTTCGTGTTGCTGCATACCAACTCCAAGCCCTAAATCAATGCTGCACCGAACAAGAAGGCTGAAGATATGCCCCCTAATCATGCCGTAGAGTTTAGGATTCTTCAGGGTTTAGGATTAGGGTTTAGGGTTTAGGATTTAGGGTTTGGGGTTTAAGGTTTAGGGTTTAGGGTTTAAGGTTTAGGGTTCAGGGTTTAAGGTTTCGGGTTTGGTTTAGGGTACCCGAGGCGTAGATGCAGCCGCTGCTTTGTTCTATCAGGAGATGGTTGTTGAGAAGCATCCTGTGTGTTTTAACAACCAGCCTGCTATGTCTAGTCACCATCTGCTGATGCCAGTTATAAACAGGACTATCCCCGAATCTCGACATTTCTAGTTGGTTGGCCTTCTATGTTTCTGAAGCCAAAACCCTAAGACCCGGAACCCCCAAATGAAGAAACTAAACCCCAAACCCTGGACATACGGCTCCATTGTAGTTGGCCCATGCAAGGTTTTGTGACTGTGTGTTTCGGGTTAAGGCTTTAGGGTTTAGCGCTTTCGGGCTCTGCTTAGGGCTCTCAGCTTTAGGGCTTTATGGCTTGATGTGAGGCTGTAGGATTGGGTGTTTCTCGGGTGCCGGGCTTGCCTAGTTTAGGCTTAGGAGTTCGGCTTAGAAATTAGGTTCTGGGCCAATCCGTTCCGTTGCTGACTTAATTAGGTTCCCAATCTGCTTTTCGCATGAATCCCCAGGGCCACTGCCCATGTCAAAGCCTTGGGCTTCTACTTCCAGCTTCAGAGCCTCAGCCTCGCAGCTTAGCGACTTCGTACTATCAACCAGAGCCTTCTGGAAACGCATGTTGAAGAGGATCGCATGGCATTTCAGTTAAGCGTGTATTACGCCGTAGTGTTTTCGGACTATGCTGGGTTCGGGGGGTGGGTGGGGGGTGTGTGGGGGGGGGGGGG